AACAAAACCCTAGAGCTCCCAAAATAGATCTAGGAGTCTTAACCCTAAAAAAAGACTTAAACATATATATATAGAAAACAGGGGCCACGTACCCTGCTCGAGCGCAGGACTTGCCACTCGAGCGGTGTCACTAAAACGCATGCGATTAAACAGGTCTCCGCTCGAGCACTAGAACCCATGTTCAAGCGCAAAAACACACTTTCCACTATTTGTTCAGACAAGTCCAACTATTGAGACAGTGCAAACTCTGCTCGAGCGCAAATGTTCCCGTTCGAGCGGGAAGACCAAAACAAAGGAAAAAATTACAACTCTATTAAAACGAGGTTGTTCGCGCAATTGGCAACTAGGGACCTAACAATAATGAATTACTATCTTAGGACCAAAATTATTATCTAATAAAAGCAAACATTTTGGCAAGTAATTTGTCATTCATTGTTGATGTTTAAGATTTTGTTGCTAAAAATCATTTTTTGACTTTTTAGAATGATTTTTTCTTGACGACTCACATTACGAATGAAATTGTTATCTTATAGTGAAAATGTTTAGCCTCTAAAATACTTATATATTATAGTGAATATTATTCAAACTAAAAAACTTTACAAACTTCTATTATTCAATGATATAACATTTATTATAATTATTTAAGTGGATTCAGTTCAAATTTCAAAATTTTGTTAATAAATTCTACATGAGGTAGTAAAATAACTCTGTATAAATTTTTCTTTACAAAAAAAGTATATTGTTCCAACTTTTATTTTTTATTTTGTTTATCTTATCTACGCATGCAATATACGTACATTGTTGAATGCATTTGTTTTCTTCTGCCGTAAGCAATATTTAGTAAACAATATATAATCATTTTAACTTTAAAATAATAAAAATAAAATACCAAATAAATGTCTTGCTTCACTTGTTGCTGAAGATTCTCCCACGGATGACATGCCACGTAGAGACAAATTGTTTGTTAGCTTTTTAATTTTTTAATTATTTTAATTTGTGGCTAAAAAATTTAGTTTGGGATGAGTGTTTTTTTTTTAAATTTTTTTAACTTTTGTGATAGAAAAAATAAAATAATTATGGTTAGATATGAAATTTTGTCTTATTGATTTTTTAGTCTATTTTATCTTTTTGTGACTAAAGCCAAGTTTGGCATAATACAAAAAATCTAAAAAGTCAAAAAGTCACTATCCTATTTAAGTCACATCATCTCATTTAAATCACACAATCTCTCTACTATATCACTTCAAACCCAATCCATATTTTACGTTTTTTCGTAAAAAGTCAAAAAGTGCACTTATTTAGATCATCCCAAACAATCCCTAAAATAGCCAAAAAAAAAAAAAAAAAAAAAAAAAAAAGAAGAAGATGAAATCAGACTTTTTTTTTAGGCAGAGGAATTCTGCCACTGTAACAACCCCATCACGTATAATGATTAGTACTTGATTAATTAAGAAGATTTGAAATTTAATTGCCGAGTATTACAATTTAATTTGGGATTTATGAGAATTGTGGGATCTGACTTGTATATGATTCTATTAAAGATTTATTTTGGAATTAGAAATTAAGGGTCCAAATGGCTTAAGGAAGTGAAGTTAAGAAGTTGAATCAATTTAATCTTAATTACAGATTCATTTGAGAGTTTAATTAAATATTCGATTCAGTTTAGTAAAATTGAGATTCGATTAATTAGATCCTAATTGGAGTTAATCAAGTTAATTAAGTTATGAAGAATGAGAATTGTGATTATTACGAATTAAATTTATTTATGGGGTGTCTAATTTGAATATGTAATTTAATTAACGAAAATTTGGAGTTTGATCAGAAATTGAAGGCCTAAATGATTTGAGATATCAAAATTGATGATAACAGTAAGTTTAATTTAATATTTGGAGCCTTTTGGGAGTTTGATCAAAAATCTGATTGAGATTAATAAATTTAAATATAATTAATTGGGCTCTAAAGGAAGTCAATTAGACTAATTAATTTATGTAGGATTTGTGATTGGACTGATTAAGATTATTTAAAATTAGATGATGTCCAATTAAATTAAATGTAAATGATTTATTAATTTACTTTTAATAAAATTATATTACAATGGAATGCTGGTGTATTGGAAGTCCAAGACAACAAATATATATATATATATATATATTTATTATCAAGTCATGTGTGTGCGGGAAAAACAGAGCCGAGAGGAAAGAAAGGAGAACAGAGAGACAGAGAGAGAAAGACTTGTGTTGGAGAATTCAAGTCAAGGAAAAGGAAATTCAAGAAAGGAAAATGGAGGATCATCAAGAATCTTTCAAATCTATCAAATTAAAGATTAAAGGTAAGGATTTCAGCCTTGATTTTGTAGAGCTCATGTATTACACTTGAAATTAATGATGATATTGAGTTCAATTTCATATAATTGGGAAGAAATTAGAAAACAAGGATGATGAGATTAAGTTAGATTCATGGTTTGGAAATTAATTATTTTGGGTTTGATGTTTTGATCTTGCGTGAGATTAAGCCTCATTGTTACATGCATGAATAAATTCTACAAGTTTAATACATGCATCATGGATTTTGAAGAATTTGGACTAATTTAATCTCATATTTTGAAGAGAAAAAGGAAAAAGCTTTAGAAAAATCTAACTTACAGAAATTTGGAATTAATCCTAAAGTGAGACAAAGTTTTTATTTTATTATGAAAATTATGAATCTGTTTGATCCATGCATGAAATTTAATTTAAAATTTTTATTCAATTTAAACACACTTTGGAACATCTATGATCATAAATTAAGTTTTGGCTATAGATTGAGTTAAGTTGAAGATGAAATAGAGAGTTAAGGAAGAAATCAACTAATTTGCTAAAATTAAAGTTTAAGGTATGAAATTCATGTTTGATTTTATAGAATCCTTGTGTTACATTTGAAATTAAAAATGAGTTTGAGATCGATTTCATGTGATTGAAAAGAAATTAGTAATTCATGATTATGGAAATTAATTTAAAAATTAATTATTTTGGGTTTGATTTTAGAATATCATGCATGAATTGAGTCTAATTTCTACATGCATGGACAAATTCTACAGGTTTTAATATTCTAATTGTACATGCATCATGTATTTCTAATAATTGATTTCATGTTTTGATGAAATAAGAATTAAGCTTTGGAAATTTATGAGTTTATGAACAATGAGCTTAATTTATAAATTAAAGGAGTTTTGATGTAAATGATTTGAAATTGATCATATTTTCTTGATTATTTAAGAGTTTGTATGTTTTAAACAAGCCATGTATGAACCCAAGTTTTGAAATTAATTTGGAAGCTCAATTCAAGTTTTAGAATTTGTGAGTTTGGAATTGGGCTTAATATGAAGAACATAAATTGAGTTGAATTTGATGAATTTGAAGTTGTATGTATATGCATGTAAAGGATTGTCATGAGTTTGCATATTTGAGTACAAACATGCATGTTATAATGAATTGAAGGCTATTTGGCACATACAAGCATAATAATGTTGAATTTCATGAAGTTGATCATCAATTGTGCTATTTAAGTTGAAAATGAAACCTATAATTCACATACATGTATATTTCAAAATGATATGGAAATTAATTTGCATGAGTTTCGAAGTTATGAAGTGAGTTTGATATGATTCGAGTTTATGAGATGGATTTATGTAAATTTGAGATTCAAATCTTGTAAAATTGGCCCTTATATTCATGTTAAAAGTTATATATAAGTCTTATGATATTAATTACATTGGTTGGAACCAAGTTTTGAAGCTCAAACATAATCTGGAAAAACCCAGAATTTGACCTGTCCGCTCGAGCGTACCCTGTTTTACTAGAATCCTCGCTCGAGCGTCAAAAGTCTCAC